AAATTTCTCTTCTTCATATACTGCCACATGACTTAGCTCACTTCATAGGGTCAGAGAAGGTTCTTTCTTTTTCCCTCTCCGGTGGGGCAACATGGATTTTCTTTGTCATATTTAAAGGAAAAAGGATTTTCTAAATCATCAGGAAAAAAAGAACTCCATTTTCATCTCCTCCACTTTTCTGTGCAAGAGACAAGGATCCCAAATCGGATTCCGAATTATACTCTCAGCCAAAATCCCACTGAAAGTCTTCTTGTGTATTAGAGTGTGTATTGGGGTCTTCATATCTCTCTGCAGGCCAAAATCCCTCTGCAAGTCTTCTTGTGTATTAGAGCATGTATCAGGTTCTTCGTATCTCTCTGCTTCTGGGTTTTGAGCTCAGCTAGGAACTGCCGTAACAGCCAGTCTTTCCGTGTCTTAAAAATAATTCGGTTTTGTATTTTGCCTTTGATGCAAAGTGTCCCTACACCATGTATAATAAATCATCTCAGATTTCTCCAATTTATTCATTATTTGTTCACACTGGCACTGCTTCTGTCTTTGCATCATTTAAGCTTGAGATGAACCGAGCTATGATTAGTTTGTAAGAAATTAGGTTAGTTTATATGCATGTGTAGTTAATTTGTTGCTGTATGAGAATCATACAAAAATAATCTCCCTTTTTTTCTTTTTGCACCTTCTGGGAAAGAAATATGTCCCGGAGGCTGGATTGCTTGCTTCTTTTTGCATACTTGTGGTATTCTCATTCATCCACACAAAACAAACTTGGCTTGGCTTCAATGCAGATACTTGATTCCACAGAGAAGGCTGTTGAGCAAAGCTTAGCCAGCACAGGTCATGCCAATGTGAGGGCGTCACGGGTATTCTCGCAGAGCTCTAAAACTACGTGCTTCACGTGGCTTGCCATCTTTGCTATGACTTGTATTTTCATCATGGTTGTTCTCTTGATTCGAGTCACATGAAGTGAGTGTCAATCCAGAAGGCTTCGCTCGTTCCTTTCGGTCTGTATTCCATCATTTTGTGATTGCTTGCGGGGATTTATTTCTCCGTTATGCAATCTTTTCGAGTTCTCTCTCTGTTTTACAATTCGGGCTCCAAAGCAGTTACAAATTTTTCTTCTGTTTCCGGGAGTGTCTGCTGTTTCGATATTTGTAGATTGACATTTAGGTCTCCCGATGTAATTCTCTTCATGGATAAGTTATGAAATGCATATACCTACAATTTCACTCCCTTCAGTTTGCATTTTGTGCTTTCCTAAAATTCAGTACTTCATATTTTATTTTAAAAAATTTCATATGAAAATATTGAATTTTTAGGTTATTATTTTGTAATTACAAATTTTTTATTTTAATTTATTTAACTTTAAAACTTTCTCGTATTCGTCTTTAATACTACAAATATTTTTTATTTTATGCAAAATGATTAAAATATTATAAATTTTATCTACAATATTTTTAAAAATTAATAGTTTGATATAAAATAGTTATTAATTAAAATAATTTTAAAAAACTTTATAGTTGTATCAATTATATATTATAGTTATATTTTAAAATAAAGTATTATTATGATTTTATATTAATAGGATAAAAAATCATAGACCAAATATATATTAATAATGTATGAAAAGTTATTATTATATTTTTTAAAATTATTTATCATATTATAGTTATTTATTAAAATATTTTTTATTATTAATAAATTCATAATTTTTATTCGTAATATTTTTATATAATTTTAAAAATCTTAATGTAAAATGATAACAAATATTTTTATTTAGTTATATTTTGTTCTCAAATTATTTTTATTTTATTGTTAATAAAATTTGAAAGTAAAAAATATTTTAAATAAAAATATTTAAAAATAGTTATTTTTTTTAATTTTTAGTCTATAATATAAAAATATTATTTTTATGTTATTTAAAAAATATAAGAAAAAATTTAAATGTTATATGATTAAAATTATATTTTAATTTTAAAGTTTAAAAATTAAATTATAATTAATACTAATGTATCTATTTATTTTTTTTTTTTGAAAACACTTAAGTATTAATTAATTTAATTTAGGGTTTCATACTCCTATTAAAACCCTCCCGTTTCTCCTTATTAGGGTTCGCTAGAGCTTCTTCGTCATATCACTGCTGATATAATCGGTGACGGCGCGAATTCCCCTCTCCCCTCTAGCTTCGAGTGAGCAAATCACCCGCTCTTATTCACGGTAATGGTCGAAAAACTTAATCTCGGCTTATTTGACCAGTTTGAAACCTGCTCTTCTTTACAGACAGTCTCGATTCTCACCATCTCTTTGTTGTTGAGGGTTTCTATTTTGCTTCCATTTATTTTTTGATTTAGTAATGGCTACTTGAGCAAGAATATAAGTTTTGTTTTGTTTTGTATGTGTCATTACTTTACTGAGGCTGTTACTTATTTTTCCCTTTTATTCAGGAAAACTCGTTGGTATCCATGACTATTTTTGAGTTGATTTTATGTTAGTGTTTAAGTTTTCTCGATTCCCTGTTTTGGTATATACAGGAAAAGATATTGTGACAATGGCAATCTGGTTTGGATTAACGAAAAGAATTGAGTCTTTATGTCGTTCTCTTGTATTTCCTGCTTTGTAGTTTTACATTTAACTATTGTTGAGGCCGTATTTTGTTTCTATATTACGGATCCTGTATGAATGTTAGCTTGCAATGACGGTAGCCTGTTAAATTTACAAAAAGGAAAGGTGTCTTGGGGCTTCCGGACCAGTCATTTAATTGAAGTTTTTATGCTGTCATAAGCATAAACGATATTCTTGTTTTCCTTCGAAGAAAATCAAAAGAAGAGCGCATATCTAAAAGCTGTTATGTTGCCGTAGTCCTTATTCTGTTTCTTGTGTTTGTATATGTAGCTATGGCAGCTGCAGTAGTGTCCACTCAGGAGCCTATCCAGCCCCACCATGAAGTGAAGCTCTTCAACCGCTGGTCCTTCGACGATGTGCAGGTCTTATTCATTCCAATTTGCAATTTTGTATTTGTGATTTGTATTTCATTTTTATCTTTCGGGTTGACTTAGATTTGTGGCTATGATTGTTTTTATGAAGAATGGAGATGGTCTTGCTTTTGTGCGTAAATTTTGTTTTGTGCTTTATTTATGAGCTACACTCTACAATTTTTTTTGAGCTGGTTTTGGTTTGGGAGTCCTGGAAACTGGGAGCCGTGTGCTCTCCTGTCATGTTACTGTTTCTAGGTTTTAGTAGAATTATAGGTATGGGATCTACGAACTGGCTGGTGGAAACAATCATAGCAGGATTTATGATTATTTATATACATGGTCCTGTAGGATTTAGGAAAATGCCAATATACACTGGTGCTTTATTTTACTCATATGGTAGTGGGTTAGTTGAAGATATTTGCGGTGTTTGCTAATCAGGTGAGTTGCAAATTTTGGAGAAACTATGATAGTAATTTAGTTTTGCCATCCCAAATGTAGAGTTTAGGTATTCTCATCAATTTCTTATGTGGAATACATGGTCTAGCAACTCTTAGATTAGATTTATGTTTTAATATTAATGATTTTGATACTAATTTCAAATTGTTGATGGATTCTTATAGGTCACTGACATTTCCCTCAGTGACTACATTGGAGTTCAGCCAGCAAAACATGCAACTTATGTGCCACACACTGCTGGGAGGTACTCTGTTAAGAGATTCAGGAAAGCCCAGTGCCCAATTGTTGAAAGGCTTACAAACTCCCTGATGATGCATGGCCGAAATAATGGAAAGAAACTGATGGCAGTGAGAATAGTGAAACATGCTATGGAGATTATCCACCTTCTGACTGACCAGAACCCAATTCAGGTCATAGTTGATGCTATCATCAACAGGTAATGGAGATACAGTATTTTTGAGTTTGGTTGAAAAGTGCTCACTAGCTAATTGTCCTTGTTTACAATAATGTGGGCTTACGATTAATGAATTCCTTTTTTGTGCACAGCGGGCCTCGTGAAGATGCTACTAGGATTGGTTCTGCTGGTGTTGTCAGGCGTCAGGCTGTCGATATTTCTCCCTTAAGACGTGTTAACCAGGCTATTTATCTGCTTACCACCGGTGCTCGTGAGGCTGCTTTCAGAAACATCAAAACAATAGCTGAATGTTTGGCTGATGAGCTTATCAATGCTGCCAAGGGTTCATCCAACAGGTGAAAATTCCCAACTCTCGTACTATTTTCACTCTCTGCGGAACCTGCTTTGTCAAAACTGCATTTGAGTACGGTTCCTGTAATTGCAACTGACTGTATTGTCTTGTTTTGTCTGTTCAGTTACGCAATCAAGAAAAAGGACGAAATCGAAAGAGTTGCTAAGGCCAATCGTTGAGGAACTAGAGTCTTCACTGGTTTTGATGATTGTCTCATGAGCTTTTATCTTATGTTTCTTGGTGGACAGATTTGAATGTTTTGTGATTTTGTCATGTTCTTGAGTATCTTAGTATATTTACATTCTATCTTTTAGAAAATTTTTTGGTAAGTACCCTTTTGAGGAACTTAATTTCAAAAGTGCACATTGATTATGTGTTTTTCTCTCAAACTAATGAAGATGTGGTGGGTATTTTATTTAGTTCTTTTGGGTAATTGTCAAATTTTTTTTTCAATTGAAACACTTATAATTATATGTCAAGTGTATATATATATATATATATATATATGTAGTTATTTGGAGATTGTGAGTTCTATGGATTGAAACAAAGAATTCAAGGAAGAAGGTAGGATAGGGGATGGTTAACACATTATGTTGATAATTGAGTTGTGGTATCATTTGAAGTTTTGATTTTATGATATTAAATTACATTTTTAAGTTTTGAGTTTAATTCAAATTTAAATGGTATGGAGTAAAATTGAGAATATAAAAATTAATAAATTAAAAATTTGAAAGAAAATAATATTTAAATTTTAAGTTAATTTCTTAAATTCCATGTTAATTTCCTATTAAACTCAAAATATTTTATTTTAATAATTTTTTTGTAACCATTTGATCATAAAAATTTATGATTATATAACTTAATATACAAAAAATAAATTATATATCAAAATATGACTAACTTTATAATATACAATAATTAAAATAAAAACAAAACCAAATTTATAATTAAATTTAAAATAAAAATTTTAGTAGAAAAATGAAGAATTTTAGACGAGACTAAATATTATTCGTTCCGATTCTTCGTTCACACGTTAAAAAATTATAATTTTTTGTTTTTATATTATTTTTTATCAATATTTTAATTAGTAATCTAAAAAATCTTTCATAAATTATAGAGTACTAATTCGATTTTGTTCAATTTTCGGGTATCGTTATTTTTAAACGGTCATCGGTTTAATTTTTATTTATAATTAAATAGTAATAAGAAAAAAAAATAAATTTTTTTTAAAATAGTAATGAGTTATTTGAAATATTATTAATGTATATTATAAATAAATGAAAAAATAAATTTATATATAATAAAATTACTAATGGGTATAATATATATATATATATATATATATATATTTTTTGTGTAATATTGATGGACTTGGAATTTTTGCAACTCCATCAAATAGTTCCTTCCTTCCCTAACAAAACAGCCAATGAGCCACATCTTCCAATGAGTGAGCGACACGTAAGCAATGTCGGCGCCACCGCGAAAAGCTGCGAAACCAATCGACGGTTCTAATCGCATAATCTGTCACTCACTCTCCCGTTTTAGCCGTCCGATTTTTTTGCCCTAACAATTTATATTTCCACCGATTGGATCGACGAGTATTTTTTTTTTTCTCTCCTCCTCCTCCTCTGCAACACTCTGAATCCCCAATTTCCCGCATTTGATTATTTGTTTAATCGTCTACTCAACTTAGAACCAGGTACCTTTTTCAGTTTCTCTAATCCATATCTAACGTATCTGTTTCAGCTTCTTATCTCGTAGTTTTCGCTGGATCATTTTAGCCTCGTTTGATCTTTTTGCTGAACTTTTTGTTCGATTAATCTTTGAATTCTTCTAGTAATTATACTTGGATTCCTTAAATTTTCTGATAATCTGGTGTGTGGTGTTTTTTTGTTTGTTTTGGTATTGCTATAGTTTCTCTGATTCTTCTCTTCCGTCTTTTAGAGCGTGTTAGATTCGAAGTTCTATATTTGAGAAAGGGAAAAACAAATTAGGGTTCTATTTCAAAGTAACCAAAACTTAAGTTTTTGGGTTCGAGAATTATGGTGATTTTTTTTTGCTTCGTTGGGGATTTTGGTGTTGACGCATGACTGTATTTGATGGTATTTGAATGCCAAGAAGGTACTGTAATGTATCAAAGAATTTGAGTCATGTGTTGAATGTAATTGCGATGGACAGTTGGGCCAAATCAGAAAAAATCGAACATAGGATCTGAAATTTTGGAAATTTCAAACGCCTGTATTGGACTGTCAGATTAAGAAAATCTTAATTGCCTTGTCCCTAAAGAACTTGATACAGTTTTGTGTGTCTGAGGTTAGCATCTGAGCATATATTTGGAAGGATTTCATCTCTAAGAGATGGGAACTTCCTGCAGCTCCTGCAATACCTTTGGTTGCAGGGTTTTCTGTGAAGGTTTGAACCTGGACTCTCACTATGGAGAGAGCTGGAGAAACCATCCGGATTCAAGAGGGTTAGTAGAAGTCATGGAAAGAATTGCTTACTCATTTTAGCGTATAGAACTCATATATGTGCATGTATGCCTGTTTTAAATTCTTAGAGATTCTAAATTTGCATACTTTTTCTCTTCTTGGACACAAATTCTCAAACTTTAGAAATGAAATTGAGGATTTTGCCATCTCTATTTACCTAATGCAATCACTTAGTTTCTAGTGTACGGTATCTTAAGATTTGTACTTTACAGGCTTGAAGATAATATTTTCCACCATTTACTTCTCCTTGTTGGAAATTAATGGGGAAAATTGTGATCTATCTGCTTAAAAACCACGCTTTCTCTGAAGTGGGGATATATCAATCTTCCCACCTTCCTGTCTGGCTTGACTATTTTCTTTCTTCTTTTAGTGGTGTATAACTATACAAATTGATTACCAATTTTATCAAGTTCCCCCTTCCTGACAGATTGCTGCTTCTATGGGGAGAAGAAAGCAAGATGAGGCTGGTGCAACCACTAAAGTCAAAGCAACTAGCAAAGATGCTTCAAAAGATGGGAAGAAAGAGAAACTTTCAGTCTCAGCCATGCTTGCTAGCATGGACCAGAAATCTGATAAACCCAAGAAAGGACCATCTTCTTCTTCAACTGCATCCGGTAAATCCAAGTTGAAGGCTGTTTCAAAAGGTCCATCTTATACGGACAGCATTGATCTTCCTCCCTCTGATGATGAGGAAGATGATTATGCATCTGATGAAGAACAGCAGCAGACTGACATGAAAAAACAACTCATACGACAGCAAAGGAATGAGCAAAAGCCCTTGGAAATCTCAATATCAGAGAAAGAACTGAAGAAACGTGAAAAGAAGGACATGCTCGCTACCTATGCTGCAGAGCAGGCCAAGCAAGAGGCCCTTAGGGATGATCATGATGCTTTCACTGTTGTTATTGGTAGCAGGGCCTCAGTACTGGATGGTGAGGAAGATGCTGATGCCAATGTAAGAGACATAACAATTGATAACTTTTCTGTCTCAGCTCGAGGAAAAGAACTTTTAAAAAATGCATCAGTTAAGATATCTCATGGGAAGAGATATGGTTTGGTTGGACCAAATGGAATGGGCAAATCTACATTGTTGAAGCTTCTAGCATGGAGGAAGATTCCAGTACCTAAAAACATTGATGTCCTTTTAGTTGAGCAGGAGGTGGTTGGTGATGACAGAACAGCTCTTCAAGCAGTTGTGTCTGCTAATGAAGAGCTAGTCAAGCTCCGGCAAGAAGTTGCAGCACTGCAGAATTCTTCTGCCAATGGCAATGAGGATGATGATGCTAATGGGGACGATGCAGGAGAGAAGCTTGCTGAATTGTATGAGAAGTTGCAGATCTTGGGGTCTGATGCAGCTGAGTCTCAGGCATCAAAGATTCTTGCTGGATTAGGTTTCACTAAGCAAATGCAGGCCTCTCCTACCAGGTCGTTTAGTGGTGGGTGGAGGATGAGAATATCATTAGCCAGGGCCCTTTTTGTTCAGCCAACTCTTTTGTTACTGGATGAGCCCACCAACCATCTTGATCTCAGGGCCGTTCTCTGGCTTGAGGAATATTTATGCCGGTGGAAGAAAACTCTGGTGGTTGTTTCTCATGATCGAGATTTTCTCAACACGGTCTGCACTGAAATAATTCATCTCCATGACCAGAAGCTCCATTTTTACCGTGGGAATTTTGATGATTTTGAGAGTGGATATGAGCAGCGCCGCAAAGAGATGAACAAGAAATTTGAAATTTATGAGAAGCAGGTTAAAGCTGCCAAGAGGTCAGGAAATCGTGTTCAGCAGGAAAAGGTAAAAGATCGAGCGAAATTTGCTGCAGCCAAGGAAGCATCCAAGAATAAGGCAAAAGGAAAGGTTGTTGATGATGAGCCCCTGGAAGTGGTCCCAAAGAAGTGGAGAGACTACAGTGTGGAGTTCCACTTCCCAGAACCAACAGAGCTTACGCCTCCACTTTTGCAACTAATTGAAGTCAGTTTTAGTTATCCAAATCGGGAGGATTTCAAGCTTTCAAACGTTGATGTTGGGATTGATATGGGTACTCGTGTTGCGATTGTTGGTCCTAATGGAGCTGGAAAATCTACCCTTTTGAATCTTCTTGCTGGTGATTTGGTTCCAACAGAGGGTGAAGTGCGAAGAAGCCAGAAGTTGAGGATTGGGAGGTATTCACAGCATTTTGTGGACTTACTGACGATGGATGAGACACCAGTTCAGTATCTTCTGCGCCTTCATCCTGATCAAGAGGGACTTAGCAAGCAGGAGGCTGTTCGGGCAAAGTTAGGGAAGTTTGGACTTCCAAGCCACAATCATCTAACTCCTATTGCAAAATTATCTGGAGGGCAGAAGGCCCGAGTTGTATTTACTTCAATTTCCATGTCCAAACCACACATATTGTTACTGGATGAGCCCACAAATCATTTAGATATGCAGAGCATTGATGCATTAGCTGATGCTTTGGATGAGTTTACTGGTGGAGTCGTGCTGGTCAGTCATGATTCTAGGCTGATATCGCGTGTATGCGAGGATGAAGAAAAAAGTGAAATTTGGGTGGTAGAGAAAGGGACCGTGGAGTCTTTTCCAGGAACATTTGAAGAGTACAAGGAAGAGCTACAAAGAGAAATCAGAGCTGAGGTTGATGAGTGATTCGGCCATCATAGCTAATGTGTTTTTTTCTTTTTTTCCTGAATGCCATGATAGAATTTCCACAATTTTGGCGTACCTGTTTCAGTTCTGAGTGTAAACTATTGTGCCGATGTGGCAACAAAATATTTTGCTTATTAAAGCATTTCACTTTCATATTTTATAATTCTTATGTTGCTTCACAATTTAAGCATGTTGGTTGTTGAAAAAAGAGCTTTCATATTCATCAGTAGCTATTATTTCTATACTGCATATGAATGAATTACAGGAATTCTGGAAACTGCTTGGTTTTATTTAACATTGCAGCATATCTGCTGGTATATCTCTGCTGATCAAACAGGAAGCAATAGCTGATCTGCTTAACGGGTCAGTTTTTCTCCACATATTTTAATTCAACTGTGGAAATAGCAATTACTAGCATTTTGCAAGGTTTTCCGCAAAAGAAATTTTTGTTGTCATTTGTTCCTGACGGAGCAAAGCTTCATGGTTCAGAACTTTCTTTCGTTTAATTTACAGGGACCACGAGGCTAGAGCCTGTTCGTGCAGCAGCAATAATGCTCTTACAGGAAATTGATGCACGGATTCAACTCCTTTTGTTGCTTTGTACAGCCAGAGAAAAAGGAGGAATCATGAGAAAGAAGCACCCCAACTAAGAGGGCAAGTTTGGAGACATGTTTCAGGTATGCAACCCAACCCAGCAAATGTATCTGCAGTCTCTAATATTTATGTATCTTGACTGAGTAACTAAAACAAACCGATGCTCATGTTCAAGATACAGGGCTGCACAGAAGAAAGAATAGAGGAAGAAACCAAAAATCAAAAGAATCTATTTTATAGCCAGGGATTGGTATGGTTTCTGAAGTAGCAGCAGCTGGGTTAATGCTAATTGTGATGATGGCTGTTTAGGCAGTTGAAAATGGATCATCACATGATCTGCTCATACTGTTAAGTGCCGGGTGATTATTTAGTTGATTATGGAGATTGACATCTTATTCTATCCTTTTTGTCACTGCAATCTCTCGTTGCTTCCTTGTAATGGATCAGATCCTACTCTTCCTAATATTCTTGGTAATCTCTCCATCTTTTCAATCTACTCTTTTCGCGACATAATTCGAAGTTTTGTTTTGCTCGTTCCAGCTATCTTGAAAAGCTAGCCTCTTCTCATGGCACCTGAGTTCTTTCTTTATTCAGTTAGGAAATTTTGTACACCAACACAACCTAAATCACCATTAATAACAATCTCACTTTTGACGCAGCAGAGGAGATAGGGTCTGTATATTGTACCATTCTACAGCGAGAATGGGTCAGTTGAAAGAACTGTTGAGAGCAGTAAATCCTTGGAGTGCACAAGCAACCATCATCGATCCTATTTCTCTATGCAACCAGTCTTTTAACGAGCAGCTACGCAAAATTTTCAAAACTTTGCAGCTCTTGCAACTCCAGCTCCCTGTGGACAAAGCTAGTAACTTCCTCCAACCCTCCATGTTCTGCTTGTCCTTCGGCATAGATGGTTACTGCAGGGTAAGATTATTGTCATTGCAAAAAGCCGCAACTGGGAGAAATTGCTTATAATGTTCGAATATACGGTATTATGCTGGCCTCGGACAGGTAGTTCAACGTATTACGTAATTTTAAAGAATTATTATTGCGGGTTACAAGTATCATCATAGTATGTTAAGACTACCACTATTGTAAGAGATTTATGTTAGTACACGGTGGGACGGAAGTATTTTTTTTTGTGGTAATTGATATATGTAAGTTCTCGTGTTGGAAGTTGTTTCTGTAGCGGACTGATAACATTAAATCGATAATTGAGTTGTGTTACAATGTAATTTTATGATGTTACCGTTCTGGTGAGCATATAGATATTATCGGAAGAGAGAATGATTCCGATTAAATAAAAATTTCATATTATTGTAACGAATGAACATTGTTCGAGTTTTTCTTTATAACTAAATCTCGGTGTTTCAATTAGAATTGAAGCTTGAAGAACTCAATTAGGAGTTACTCAACATGAGTGTCACTCTAAACATAGAGTAGTTTAGGTTTAACGAAATAAGCATGATTACTTTATTAAATAAAAAAAAATTATCATTTAATTAAGAATATATTAAATTTTTGTAATAATTATGTTGGTCGGTACAGATGTTTATACAATATTTTTAACTAGTGGAATTAATAAATATTAAATATGTAGTGAAATTATAATTTAATATATATTTTTTGTATTAAAATAATTATTTATTTATAAAAAATTAAAATATTTAAATTAATTTATAAATTAAAAATAAAAATTAATAAATTTATTAATTAATTTCAGATTGGACTTTAAGTTGTTACAATTTTAATAAGATCAAAATTAATTTCAGATTGGGCTTTATTAAATTAGGAGTTTTAATTTTATTCAAATTTAAAATTTATGCAAATATATATATATATATATATATAAATAATACAAAAGAGATATAAATTTGAGAAAAAAAAATAGCATTTAAACATGGGAAAAAAAAAATTTGTAAATTTTATGCCTAATTTTTGCTAAGTGATATATATTTTTTTTATAAACATATGAAAACACAAATTTGTAAATTTTGAATTAAAATTTAATCTATACAAATTGTAATTAACTTTATATATGAAATACAAGTGAAAAATAAAATATGATATTTAAAATAAATTTTTATAGGGTTTAAGGTATATAATTTTTATGAACTATAGTTTATTTATTTATTTTTTTTCAAAGTACAAAAGTTTTTTTTTTTTTTGGGTATAATATTAAAAGACTTGGGGTATTTTTGTAATTTAAATACCCAATAATTCCTTCCCATTCTTCCTAGTAAGATACACCATGAGTCACGAGATCCAACGAGTGAATGACACGTAAGCAACCCCGGTTTACCTCCCGCGAATAACTGCTAAATCAATGGACGGTCCCAATCCCATAATCCAACACCCTTTCCCCCCTTCTCAGCCGTCCGATTATTTTGCCCTAAAGATGTTTAATTCCGCCGCTTGAACCCGAGTTTCCTCTCCCTCCCCTCCTCCGCGACGCTCGAATCCCTAATTTCCTGCAATTCATTTAATCATCCGGCAGGTATCTTTCTTCAGTTTCTCTAGTCCGTATTTAGCGTCTCTGCATCAGCTTCTTCATTTTGTTGTTTCACGGGATCGTTTTAATCATAATTGTGTTCCTTTTCATTTAATTCTTTCTGCTAAATTTCCTGACGATTAATCGTTGAATTCTTCTAGTAATTAAATTTGAATTCCTTCAATTTCTTTGAGATATTCTGGTAGCGTTTTCGTTTTAATTTTTGCTGAAATTTTCTCTGCTTTTTCTCATCCCATCTTCCAGAGCATTTAGGAAAAGAACAGATTAGGGTTTTCCCTCAAATTTGCTGAAAATCAGGTTTTTGGGTTCGAGTGTTGCGGTGAATTTTTTGCTTCGGGGGGAATTTTGCTGTTGACGCTTGACTTTATTTGATGGCATTTGAATGCCAAGAGGGCACTGTTAACGTATCCAAGAATTTGAGTGATTCTGTTGAATATAATCGTGAAGAACAGATTGAGTCAAATCAGATCAAATCAAGCAGAGCATCTGAAATTTTTGAATCAAGGCCTGTATTGTACTGTCAGATTAATAAGGGTGGTTCAGATTCAAAACAGTTACCGTGTAGTGATGCTTTGTCCAACTATTGTCGGTCCATCACTGACCTCCCTCCGGCCCTAATATCAGAAATTCTTAACTGTCTTGACCCTAAAGAACTTGGTATAGTTTCATGTGTCTCGACAATTCTCCAGAGATTAGCATCTGAGCATCGAGTCTGGAAGGATTTCTACTGTGAGAGGTGGGAACTTCCTGTAGCTCCTGCAGGACCTTTGGAGGCAGGATTTTCGGATGAGAAGTCATGGAAAGAATTGTTTGTGGAGCGAGAGTTTAGGAGTAGGACTTTTCTAGGACGGTACAACATTGATATTCTGTATGGTCACACTGAAGCTGTTAGGACAGTTTTCCTTTTGCCTTCTGCCAAACTTATTTTTACCTCTGGGTATGACTCGGTTGTGCGAATGTGGGACATGGAGGAAGGTATGTTGATTGCATCTTCTCAACCCCTTGGCTGCACCATCAGAGCAGTCGCAGCAGATACAAAACTCATGGTTGCTGGGGGTACTGAAGGTTTTATACATTTATGGAGAGCAGTGGAGGGCCTCCCTTTCTTGTTTGACCTTAGAGGATGTGAGAATCGGAACACTGAGTTTCGAATTTGGGAACATGGAGGACCAATTACTTCTCTTGCCTTGGATTTAACAAAGATTTATAGCGGTTCTTGGGACATGACTGTTCGCATCTGGGATCGTAGTTCACTGAAATGCGTGAAGGTTTTGAGGCATAGTGACTGGGTGTGGGACCTTGTTCCTCATGATACTACAGTAGCTAGTACATCTGGTTCAGATGTGTACTTTTGGGATACAAATAGCGGCAATCTAGAGGCTGTTATTCGCGGTGCTCATGTCGGGAACACTTATTCTTTGGCGCGTAGCCATGCCGGAGATTTTCTATTTACTGGAGGTGAGGATGGGGCAATACACATGTTTGAGGTCACTAGAGATTGCCGTGAGATAACTCTAGTGCTGGTTGCTACATGGATGCCTCACTCAGGCCCTGTTCATTCCCTTGCATTTGAGTTTCCCTGGCTTGTCTCAGCTTCTAGCGATGGTAAACTTGCTCTTATTGATGTGAGAAAGTTGTTGAAGACTAGCAGGCGCTCTTCAGGTAAGAAGGTTTCTAGGGCTAACCATATCAGTCAGAATAGCGTGGAGCCACCTCAAAGGATGTTACATGGATTCAGATGCAATTTGTTCTCAGTGGATGTTGGTGCAGATCGCATTGTATGTGGAGGTGAGGAAGGTGCTGTTAGGATTTGGAACTTCTCACAAGCATTGGAAACTGAGCGCAGAGTCCGAGCTCTCAGAGGAATACGGTTAGAGAACAGGATGAGGCGACGTAGACTCCAAGTAGAGATGAATACTAAAAGCACTAGGGCTGATCAATGTTCCGTTGCTGCCAAGAAGAATCCGATTAATGGCAACAGGAACGGATTCTGGCAGCATAAGCGCGGGATGAGTAGCAAGCTGAGCGCGTAGCAACAGATAATAACCACACGGTATGCATTGAGACAGAGCACTATCCAATTCCTCTAGCGGTGAAAACTGTAACCAAAGTTATACACTTTATGATCAAACATGTACTGTAAACTATTTGATTTTGATTTTTACATCATTATTTGAATTGCGATATAGATTTCATTCAATAGAATGTCAAAATTACAAGGATCAGCTTGTAAATGATTGGATAGGATCATGAAAGTAGAGAGAAGTTCAAGGAAGTCCTTAAAGATTTTCTTTTCATATTATCTCTAATGGTGAGACCCAAGTTTATGATAACACAACCCAAGTTTAATTTTTTTTTTCAAAGTATAGGAGGTAAAATTACAAAATAATAGCACATAGACCAATTTAAAGGTTTTGAAATAAATACAAAAATCAATTTAATATTTTAACTTCTATACATAAATATATATATATATATATTACATGTATACCAGTAAACCTCTATTTGTAAAAAATTATTACATTATTGATAAATATATAGATATCTATATTTTTGTCAATGGACTGACTGGTTTTAATAAATTTTATGGATAATATTTTAAAATATTTTTAGAATTTAATGTTTATTTTAAGTTATATTTTGTATTTTTAACTGTAATAATTTCGATAATATAATTAATTTTTTTTTTATTTTAAAAGGAATTTACACGTAATTTTAATAAATAAAAAATATCACATGAAACTAAATAAAATTTTCTAAAGAGTATTAAGAACTCGAACAAAATTTTAGCAATCGGAGAATTAGATTCTGGAACAATGAAAATGATTCATAGTTCATCAACTATTTGAGCATTGCTCACTTGATGCAACTGGTGGGATGGTAGAATCTAGGTCTTCTATTATGTTCAATAGGAAAAGGTAAAAGATCTAAGGAAGTTTTCTGCAGCCATGGAAGAATCCAAGAATAATGCAAAAGGAAAGGTTGATGATGATGAGCCCATGGAAGTGGTTTCAAACAAGTGAAAGAGATTACAGAACAGAGCTTTCGCCTCCTTGATCAATGTAGATATTATTTTTATACTGTAAATGAATGAATGAGAGGAGTTATGAAATTTGCTTGCTTCTATTGAACATGGCAGCATCTCTCTGCTAGTATACCTCTGCAGATCAAACAGGAAGTGATAAACAATCTTCCCCAGGTCAGTTTTTCTTCAATAGATTGTAATCCAATTGTAAAAATCTGCAATTACTTGCATTTTGCAGGGTTTTCTGCTAATTTTTTTTTTGGGGTCATTTGTTCCTGATGAGGTCAAGCTTAGTGGTTAAAATTTTCTTTCTTCCAGTTTACAGGAATCACAAGGCTTGAGTTTTTTCGAGTCAATGTCATCATTGTTCTTGGATGAAATAATTCAACTCCCTTCTGGTGCCTTATAGGGCCAGAAGAACAAAAAAAAAAAATCAAAAAGAGGAATCATGAGAAAGAAGCTTCCTAACTAAGAGGGCAAGTTTGGAGCCATGCTTCTGGTATGCAACCCCATCCCATTAGCCTGTGTATCTGCAGTCTCTAATATTCATCTCTTTTACCTGACTAACCAAAACAAAACCATGATCATGTTCGAGAAACAAAGTGCAGGGAAAATAATGGAGAAGGAAACCAAAATCAGAAGAGTTTATTTTGTGGAAAGGATTGGTATGGCTCCTGGAGCAGCAGCAGCTGGGTTAATGCTAATTGTGATGATGGGGATAGCAAATGGGGGAGTTGAAAGTGGATCAGATGACCCATTTGCATTGTATGTACTGGGTGATTCTTCAGTTAACTGTGGAGATAATAACTTATTCTACCCTTTTCTTCATCATAACCTCTCCTTGCTTCCTTGTAATGGGTCAGGTTCTACTCTTCTTCCTTATTTTCTTGGTAATCTCTCATCTTTAACTCTACACTTCAAACATAATTCTGTATCTATTATTTTGGTTTTGGAAATCTTGAAAAGCAAGCTTTATTAGTTAGGAACTTTTATACACCAACACAACCCAAATCACTATTAATCACCATCTAACTTTCGATGCAGCGGAGAAGATAGGGTTGCCACATATCTTACCATTTTATAGCCAGAATGGATCAGTTGAAGAACTGCTAAGAGGTGTAAATTTTGGGAGTGCACAAGCAACCATCATCAATCCTAATTCTCCGAGTGACCAGTCTCTTAACGAGCAGCTCCGCCAAGTTTTCGAAACCCTGCAACTCTTGCAACTCCAGCTCCCTGAAAACCAAGCTAGTCACTTCATCCAATCCTCCATATTCTACTTGTCATTCGGCAAAGATGATTACATCAAATTCTTGCTCGGCAACTATAACTCATTAGTGCACGGCAGGGAAGAGTTTGCTGGCATATTGGTGAATCAATTGGTGCGTGTCATGAGAAGTCTCTACGATGCCAATGTCCGGAAGATGGTTTGCGTAGGAATAATGCCTTTAGGCTGCACTCCTCGTATGGTGTTGGATTTTTCAAGTGGTGTTTCTGGAAATCTTGTTAATGGTTGTGTGAGGGAAGTGAATGAGGCGGTTTTGGAGTATAATCAGCTGCTTGGACGCCACATTCTTGGGCTTAATGAAGAATTGTCAAATGTTCAGATTGTGTTTTGTGATATCTACCAAGCCATTATGGAGATGGTAACCAACCCCAGCCAATATGGTATATTCACTTTCTTGTTTCTTGAAATGCTTTTTTTTTCCTTTTAATCTTGAATCTTGATTCAACTAACCACTTAAGTTTTTTTTAGTAGAAAGACGTATATTTCATTGATTAGCCGATACATACACATTCATTATAATAAATTTCTTACCGAAAACATAGTTTGCCTTGAACCCAGAACGTTTTGTATATGGAAGAATGTATCAATCATTCGGTTAAAAACTTATATTTTATCACCGAAATTTTAAAGACTCAACAATTGTAAGTAGGTACATTTCATTGATTCGTGACACGTACATATTCATTATAATATTACTTCTTACTGAGAACACATAAAAACGTCCAGTTTGGTTTGAACCTACAACCTTTTATTAAAGGAAGAACGTATAACAATTCGGTCAAAAACTTACGTTTACTGCCAAAATTAGAAATAACTCGTTAGGATGAAACTCAGCTTAGTTATTATACTTTATCGACACACTAATAAACAGAACTTTAAGTTTGCTAAATCAAGTATTGTTCGTTGGCATGAGTTAACTGACTTATTTGTCAAGAAACTTAAGTAGGTAGAAAAAGCACACTTATTATTTCGTAGCGTTCGACACTATTAACCGTTACGAAGATCGAATACGATAAAATCGAAACAAATTCCGTAAAAATTTTGAACTTGTTCCAACGTAAGTTTTCTCTAAACTATTAGCATTTTCTAATAACATCTTCTATGACAATTACAGGTTTTGAAGATGCAAGAAATGCTTGTTGTGGTATTGGTTTATATGGTGCAATGATGGGATGTCTTTCCACAGAGATGGCATGTGATCAAGCTTCCATTCATATTTGGTGGGATCTTTACAACCCTACAGAAATGGTGAACTCCTTACTTGCCAGTTCTGTCTGGTTTGGGAAACCTTTCTCTAAGATTTGTCATCCCACAAATATCCAAGATATAGTTTCTTAATTAGTTTTATAATTGTATTAGTTATTGTTTAATTCTAATCTCTAATTTACAATACTAATCGTATGTTATTAGTATTCGAACTCTTTCAATATAAATTTTTGGATATCGTTTTTCTTCAAGTACTATCATTTAAGGGTTAAGAAATTAGTACTTTGTAATTAAAAAAAAAAGATCTTTCCTTAATACGAGAGAACCGGGAAGGATGTACATCGGTGTATCAATTATCGTGCTTATGGTAAATGTTGAGTAGGCAAACGCGTAATAAATAATTGTTGAAAGTATTTAAATAATAAATACATCCCGAGATGAATAACAATAATGGGTTCTCTATTCTTACCGGGATGGAGTGATAAAAATTTTGAGAATTCGAAAGAAGATCACGGTGAGATTAAATTTTTTAGTAATTAAGAAAAGAGTATTTTAGTTTTATAATGTTTAATTTTTATTTTTTAAAAATATAAAATAAAATATATATATCTTACGTATATATCATGTTATATTGAATGTTACTACATATCACGTACAACAAATA